GGAGAAAGGACTCACAGGGTGTACTATGACTGTTTTTTTTTTCTCATCTCAGTTACTCTTCTCTATGAAGTACTAATCTTATGCAAATGTTCCAGAAAATATATATATATATCGCTGACGTCATTGCATTTCATACGTCGTTCCACGTTTGAAGTAAAAATTCTATTGATCCTTGGAAATAATATGCCGTCGAAATGAAGGCGCCATGGTAATCATTTTAGATACCATTATTCTCCTTCATTTCCCTACATATCCGAACGGCAGTAAAAAATTACTCAGGATCGAGACAAATCTAGTGACGATGAATTACCGAAGCAGGACTAGCTTATAGTCACGTGTGGCACTATACCCGAAGTGACGTTAGTGACTCGTGCATTCAAGAATTAAGATTCAAGAACGATCGCCAAATGTATTATAGTTTTGCGGCAAATTTCCAGGTGAGACTCCTGACGAATTATTTGATATATATAATCATTGGGCTCGCTGCTGGGCAATGCCCGAGATAAATCATGCCCCGCGAGGTGGCAGGAATAGGAGTGCATGCGATCTATGTCGGCACAGAAAGGTACATTGACTCCCGGCGATATCCCCAATCCCTGATAATAAGGACTCTCTATTTATAAATAACTTGACAACAACTGATACAGATTCGTTGTGATCGCGCCCAACCGTCTTGTGAAAATTGCTTGCTGGCACGAGTGTCTTGTACATTCACCGTGAAGCCAACTGAGGCGCGTAAAAGCATAAGACAGTAAGATACGTTATGAAGCTGCTCTTTCGAGTTCTTTTGGCCTAAAAATATCACATCTAGGCGTCTCTCCGAAACACAACGCCAGGTACAAAATCTTGAGAGTTTGATTACCAACAGTGACTCTGCATCCCGTGGTCCAGAAAAGGCTTCTACTCATAATAACTATTCTGCACAAGCTCATTTTCATGACACGGCTGGCTTCGAGAATGCCCTGTCTACATTTCAACAACATCTCGAATACTCCTGGCCCGGAGGTGACCGGTCATCCCACAGGGCCAGCTTCTGCTCCGCAATATTTCACCACACTGGTTCTCATTTCGATCTTGACAACTTCTTCCGTCAGGTCACAGACTCGTATCAATCGCGATATGGGATAGAAGAAAAAAAGCAAGCGACCTCCCAATGGCCTGACAAGCGTTTGGTCAGGAATTGTATTGAATATTATGATCGCAAAGGACTTTACTCTGTCTTCCCTATAGTCGATATTCGCGTGGTCCGTGAGCTCTTTGATGCGGGTGTTTTAGACGACCCATCCAAAGCCAGTCCCGTGGCCAACAAGGCATGTCTAGTCGCATTCACGGCGCTTATAGCTCAGCTACATCGCCATAGTCCAATGTTCGCACACGCTAAACCAGATGCCTACGTGCGAGCGGTGTTGTCATTGCTACCGGACTTATTCATGGAAGAGGCTGACGTGAGAACATTGGAGACGTTCATTATTTTGGTAAGTAGTTCAGACACGGTAATATAGCTCGTATCTCATTTTTGCAGACCATATATATACCCCCGACCGGGCAAAGTTACCCAGCCGAGATGATGCTTGCTGCAGCTGTACGCATCCTCTATAAGCTTGGTGGCCACCGACAAAATAATCCCGACGGGGATCAGGGGACGCACAACCATTACCATATACGCTCTCTGTTCTGGCTAAGTTATTGGATGGACAAAGAAATGTCATTACGCGCGTGCCGCGAACCGATGATAAACGACGCAAGCTGTGACTTGGAATTGCCGTCCACCTATGTCTCGCAATCCTCGACTTATCAATTCCTACAGGCTCCCCTATCTTCCGACATACTACTATATCCTTCCGACCTTCGCCTTGCACTAATCAAATCAAAAATCTATCGTCTGCTTCACTCTGACTCAGGCCGTGCCCATCCTGAATCCACCCGAATGCAACGCATCCTTGAGCTAGATCAAGAGCTGAGTGCTTTAGAATCGAGTTTTCCTGCACATTGCCAACCTCATGTGTTCGCAACCCCGGATTGTCCACTGTACGCGTTCCATGACCTTAGCATGCGTGGTGTGACTTTGCACTTGGATTACTACTATTGTGTAAAAAGAATCCACGAGGCCAGTGCCGCCTGCAGCACGCAGTACTCCTTTTCGTCGGGGATGGGGCTTTCTCACCAGACATCACGATGCATGTTGCTATACATTAATCAAGTGAAATCTTTTATCACTTGGCATAGTTTTTGGTTCGTACCAACCGTCATCTCAGATCTATTTTATTTTACCAGCTAATGGTTGGCTTTCACCTTAGGATATATGCTCAATGGTTGCTATCGGCTGTGATATCCCTGTTTTATCACTGCATGTCCAACCCCACGTCTCCAACCTTTTCTGGGGATCTTGAAATCCTCGAGAATACAAGAGACATTTTCTCTTCTCTTATGCGCAGTACCGAAGAAGGGAAGTGCATTGCGCCGTTCTACATTACCGAGGCTTTTGTTGACACACTGATTCGATTTGCTAAGCAATCATACATGAAAGCGACTGCTATATGAGTGTTAACGTGTACATCACCTTTTGACCGATACGTTACAAATTCTTTATGACTATAATATGACGGTGATAATCTTTCGAATGAAATGTGTACCCGAAATGCAGTTGCGACATCTGGAGCTCCATGTTCCACGTGCTGGAGCATAACCATAAGGTAAGAAGGATCAAAAAGGACCTTCTGGCTGTTCCAAAACTAGGTCTAGAAAGTTACAACTCAATCTCGGAAATCGTACCCTGTGACTCGTACATTAGCTTAAGGCCACGGAGACAAATGCCGTTGCTTAAATTACATTCGGGTGTTTATTGGCGGCATTTAACCCGCTTGTAGCCTCGATGATGTACGGAGTACGTGCTCGTAGTTTCCACCCGCGGACCTGGAGGGCCTCAAATCCCACCACAAGTGCACACACTTGCGTTCTTGGCGAATATTAGTCGTGCAATTGACTTTAGGTAGCAATAGACTTGCTGATTGGGCTTCATAGCCGTATGAAGAGATATGAAGCGCCGGGAAACTGAGGTCTAGCTCCACAGCTGAAACGCTTAATAGCAACCGTAATCGCGCCAAGAAACACCGTCATCTTTTATTTGGACCCACCAACGATTTCCGAACCAATTATTTCATTGCCGATGAATAAGCGGGCCGTTTTTGTGCCGAGATATGAAGTGCCAAGCCCCGGTAAACCAAGCGTGCGTAGTTGAGGACAAGATCGAATCTACAGGACAGAAAGTCCTTTGCACTGCCTATGAGCGGAGGAGTCTTACTAACTAACTCGATACAATCGGGTTCCTACATATCTGAAGAGCTACCGGTGACCATCCTTCCCTATAGAGGTCTTGTGAGTAGCATAAATCGTGAATAAAATGCTTACCCGTCTCTCAAAAGTTGGATTACTCCGCATGGGCCTCATCACAAGTCAAGCCATCACCTCGGATTGTATATGAAGAGCATATGCTCCTGTCTGGAAATTACCCATATCCCGAACGACACTAGATCGCCGCATTAATCTATTCCCTCCTCTTTGTTGCGTGGAAACTTGAATCAAGGCATACTCTAGCCAGTACTTCGGCAGACAAAGATGCATAACAAGCTGCGCCCCAAAACATAGACAGTCTTGGCTGCAGATCTTGTGGCTCTCCAGATTCAATCCACTGCTCCAGCGGCCCCATTACGCGGACCGTGAAGCCCAGTCACATTCGACCCATTCGTCATTCCAGGAGACATTCACTTTGATAGGTCGCGAGATGTGGTTGAATAGTGATTGACACGCTATTTTCCGTATCCAGAAGGTCAAAATTCCGTCTGCCTGTATCTCGAACATTCATGCCGGAGCTTGCTGACGACGATTGTGACGAACGAGGACGAATCCCGTCTGCCGGCAGTAGACCTTGGTAGCACATGAAATCCCATCTGCTAATGGCTCCGCAGACTGGATAATGGAGGTCGGGGTATATAATAGGTCGTTATTGTCGCTCCCAAGATGAAAATAACTCAGACATCGCTTCCAGACTCTCACCACTAGTGTTATCTTCTTGTTGTCCCGACCCTCAATATGCAAATTCTTTCTTTGAGCAAGTTGGCCATACTAGGCCTAGCCGGCCTGGCGATTGCCCACCCCGGCGTCCATGAGCCCAGCTCTATGTCGCATTCCGCGAAGAGAAGCTTCCTCAACAACGCAAAGCGTTCCCTCAGCAAATGCAGCAGCAATTTGGAACGCCGTGGAATCAACGACCGGATCCAGGCTCGCCGTGCGGCCGCGTATGAGATGTACCGCAAGCGCAGCATTGACGCTCGCGACTACAACCCTTCCGTGAACACCTCGCATCACTCCACCCTCGACGTGACCTCCCAAACCACCGAGCAGGAGCTGTTCGCCAAGAACCCCGTGTGCATTCTCTCCCCCGAAGGAGAAATCGGACCCTTCTGGGTGAAGGGTGAACTGGTGCGGTCTGATGTCCGTGACGGCGAAGCCGGTGTCCCGATCATTATGGACGGCCAGTTTATCGACATTGAGACCTGCGAGCCCATCAACGATCTCTACTGGGATGTGTGGAACTGCAACTCCACCGGCGTTTACTCCGGCGTTCAGAGCTCCATGAACGGCAACGGCAACGATGACTCGAACCTCGACAAGACCTTCTTGCGTGGTGTCCAGAAGACCGATGCTGACGGTGTCGCACAATTCCAGTCCATGTTCCCCGGTCACTACTCCGGCAGAGCCACCCACGTCCACGTCGTTGCCCACGTCGGTGCCACCCAATTGCAGAACAACACCATCACTGGTGGTCATGTCGCTCACATCGGTCAGCTCTTCTTCGATCAGGACCTCGTTTACAAGGTCGAGGCTACTTACCCTTACAACACCAACAATGTTTCTATCACTACCAATGCCGATGATCATGTCGTTCAGGATGAGACTGAAGATAGCGCCTCGGACCCCTTCTTCGAATATGCTTTCCTCGGAGATGCCCTAGAGGATGGTATCTATGCTTGGATCACCCTGGGTGTCAATGTCTCAGCTAGTTATGATACTAGCTATGCTGCTACCTTGACTTCCTCCGGCGGTGTCTCCAATTCTAACAGCAGTCCTGGTGACACTGTTAACTTCTGATTGATCCCATCGACGGCTGGAAGCAGTTTATTGAGATAGTCTAGCACATGTGATGGTATCTGTGTCCATTTCACTCATTCCCTATATCTGGATGCACTCATTGTTAAATAGCCACGTCGCGTTCTTGTATCTAAAACTTACCAATAGTATTTCAGCCATTATTTAGCCCAGCGCTCATTTCAAACACATAATAAACAAAATGCTCGGCCACTGGAGCAACACCAGAACCTTGGGAAGCTTAATGAAGACAGATAACATGTCATAAAAAAGGATGATAGTCAAACCTTTTCATAGCCTAAGCTCGACCCTCGCCCAATTGAGTCACCAAAGACTCCTATCAGCTCATCCACTGCCCTTATCTCCTTCTGCACGGCATTCTCTTTCGGCAAGAGCGTGAATAGGCCTTACCATGCGCCAGAATCGCCCGTATAGATGCCTCTCCGCACCTGAAAATCACTGCTGGTTCTTAATGTAAAGACTTTCCGTAGGCTGATGGGACCAAGTAGCCAGGCGGATGTTGTCTTGAGCTATGTTTTATCCAGTTCTGTAATAGCACTTCTGTGTAACTCAGTTAATCTTTCCCTATCATTTGGATCCGAGGCGAAGTACAGTTGTACCTTACAAAATATAGGGACCAGTGGTAAATACCAAGTGTTTCCGATCCCGGTTTTCATTCTGATTCTGAAAGTACCGATGGGCCTTAGATTCAGCTTGAATACTGGTTAGAGACCCCACATGTAATGAGAGGGGAGGATATTGTTGTCAGCTGTATGTTAACGGCTATAGAATAATTGATGTAAGTGCACTCCTTGAAGGATGAAAATCCCTGTAATCTGTGGTATGACGCTATATACTAATTGGTCTTCATATATTTCAGACGTTATGTTCGAAGTAGGGATAAGGTTAAAATCTAGGCATCCTCCAAAAATGCAACCGAAATAGAAACATCCCGTCCCTAGTATATGGCTTACCGATATGAACGGCACTTCATCATTTTTCCAGCTTGCCTATTCCGTGGCGAAGCCGTTATCAAGCATCCTGCAGATTAGGTAGGAGCATGAATGGACCCTAAGGCAAAAATAGAGGGAGGATCAAAGGCCCACTCTCGGGTTCGGGTTCGGGTTCGGGTTCCTGTGCGGGAACATCAACCCTAGATGAGTGCTTGTTCTGTTTTGAGATTAGAGTCACTAAGCTTAACATTTAGGCAGCATTTATCCATAATTTTGTGAATATGATTACACAGGTCTAGATGAGTGGCTGTTGAAGAAGCTTTCAATGACGGCAAATTGATAAAAGGAAGTCATGAAGAATGGTTGAACATGCACATTGCATACTAGTAGAGCTAACATCTCTAGAGGTCTGGTACATGGCATCCGTATCTATCCTTACTGAAGATCTCTTGTCTTGTAATGAATACCACTTTCAGTTGTCATGCATATAGTATGGAGAATGGGTTCATAGTGTAAAACCTTGTTCGAAGCAACTCCCATGCATGCCAAGTGTCTGAAGGATCGACATACTCTTGGCATCTGCGATGGCTGAGATACGTACTGGATCTGATTCTCTATAACCGGTGCAGCGAGCTCCGTACAGCCCCAAGAATAACCAAAAGCCAAGAAATGTCTAAGGATATTGTAAATATATCGAATTTGGCTGCCTTGAAGAAACCTAATACGGAATCCGACCTCTCCATCAAAAGCATCTACCTCCATCTCTTGGCTTTTATCGCCAAAGATGTATAAAAGGACGTGTTGTACAAGGCCAGTATACATCAATTCATTCAGCCATCTCATGACACAATCCAGATCTCAATTCTTATTATTATTATTCAGCACCACCCAATAACAACGGTATAAAACACAAAAGCAAAAATGAACGTCTTCGACACCCGCTGGAAACTCCCCCTCCACTGCTTCCAAATATTCCTAATCGTGATGGTAATTGGCCTGTCCATTCCAAGGCTCTTCATGAAGAACCAGCCCCGCACGCGAGCTAGTACAATCGGCCTCGGAATGGTATATCCCTCCTCTTCTGTGGTTCAAGCACCCGATAACTAACCATCGAGACCCGTACAGGGTGCAAAATCCCTAGTAATTGTCCTCTACCAACTCCTAACAGAACACATCACGGCGCTCCGCAAATGGGGAAATCTAAAAGCATACACGATTCTCAATGCCCTGGAGATCGTTTTCTGGGCCGCAGTCGCAGTTTTGACTATACAGGCCAATGTACAGATGTGTGTGGCGCCTGGATGCATCTTGGGCTGGGGTGTGGCTATTACCGGGATTAATTTGAGGTATAGTATCTGGTTCTCGATGATGGGTGGGGATACTAGTTGGGTGGCTAATGCTGTTTGAGGATAGTGTTTTGGCGATTTATGCCACTATTATATCTTATCGTGAATGGAAACAGTCTAAGGGTGGGGCAAGGTCGGATGGATATAAGAGGGCCCATGAGTTGAGGAGTGCTAGCCCTGTTTCTAGTGTGTGATTGGGATTTGATCTCTTGGGGTATTTATGAGGTTATGTTTTATTTTATTTTAGTTGGTTTGTGTATATCTGCTTGCATGTATAAGTGGAAAATGGATCCTCCAAGATGCCCTACTACTGTGCGCGAGTGTGATACATTTTCCGAAATGACTCACTTTCTCTAATTGTTTCCCCCCAGACCTTGAGCAATTTCACGATTAAAAGGACAAGCCATCATCTTCCCCGTATCGACTTTACCAAGTCCGGAGCCGAATGGGTATGTGATCAACAACCCATCACCAGCGTAACTGACATATAACACTAGCATACACATTGCCAGAGCCGGAATATAGAGGATCTTAGTCTAGAAATGCTGTGGTTCGCGCCCTGCTATGGGTAGTATTTCCACTCAACAAGTTGTTCACTGAGGCTGAGTTGGCTTTCCTCTTAACACAATCAACATGTCTTTGGATTGTAGGTGACATAAAGCAACAGCAAGTGGCATTTCCAGTGCAAAGAACATAAGAGCTTACAATATTAAGAGACCGCCATGCTAAGGCGTATGGAGAAAATTGGATGAACTTAGTCTAACATACATTTCGAGAATATAAGGACGTACGCGATGAGTATATGTATAATGAGATCATACTCGGGATGGATGGGAAACAGTGACATGCAGTTTATACTCTTACGGTAAATTCAATAATGCCATCCCACGATCGGATTGGCTGTTCAAACTAGTTGGCACGACCAGAGCAGCGTATTGTGGATTGTTGATCAACATACTAGGTAAAGTTAGTGAGGCGGGGTTAACTATTAGTATGATTGAATACCCACACCATCACCCAACAAGTTGACACCCACAGATTCACCCTCCTGCCGCCGGAAATGAATAATGGACCTGGTTTATCAATACGCTGGATTCACATCTCTGCCACTCTGTATTACCCTCAATATACCGCTCATTCTGTATCTCCTTTACCATTTCGTTCTATTTCCCCTCTTTCGTTCCGATCTTCGCTCCATCCCAGGCCCAGTCCTTGCCAAATTCACTGACCTCTACCGTCTTTTACTCGTTTGTACTGGATCTGCTCACGAGCATCACCTCCGCCTTCACAAGATTTATGGACCTTTCGTTCGACTGGGGCCAAATAATGTCTCCGTTGGGTCTCCCACCGCCATCCCCATCCTCTATAATACACGTACTCGATACCCCAAGTCAGCGTTTTACCCGGTTATGGGAAATGTCGCTCATGGAAAGGTTGTTCCTACAATCTTCTCCACGCAGGACGAATCGATTCACGAGACGATGAAGCGGCCCGTTGCCCAGGTGTACGCCATGACAAATCTCAAGACCTACGAGCCGCTGGTAGACAGTACCGAATCGCTCTTCTTGAGCAAGTTGGAGAGGTTCGCAGAGGAAGAGAGAACCCTAGATCTGGGCACGTGGCTGCATTGGTTTGCGACGCACGTCATTATGGAGATTACATTTGGAAAGAGGCTTGGGTTTTTGGAAAGGGAGGAGAATGTAGATGGTATCCTGGAGACAATAGAGAAGCGGTTTTGGTATGTGGCTGTTGTGAGTATAATCCTGTCCCTAATATGTAATAGCAGCTGTTCCGTGTCCTTCCCGCCTGGTATGTGGTTTATGTAAGAAGGTAGACTGATGAGGCCTACTGAGTTAATAGGCCGGTCAAATACCCTGGCTCGATAAACTATTGCACAAGAATCCCGCAGTCGGCCTTTTCGCACGCTTCGTATCGAAGCCGAGAGTGTCTCCAGTTCTGGAATTCGCTCTCGAAAGAATAGCAGAGCGGAAAAGGCAGCGTCTTGATCACCCGGAAAGAAAGGGGCAAGAGCCAGACTTCCTGGGTCGGTTTTTGGATATTCAGAATAACCATTCGGATATCCCGGATTCGTGAGATAACCCATCTACCCTGTTTCTATAGCTTTACTCACATAAGCCGCTACAGTTGGATAATATCCTGGTGCCAACAAAACGTTCAGGCAGGCTCGGACTCCACTGCAATTACACTGACTTCAGTCATGTATCATCTGATGAAGAATCCGGAGTCTATGAAAGCCTTGGTTGTCGAGTTAGATATTGCGAATTTTCCGTCACCAATTCCCTGGGGTATTGCCCATAAACTCCCCTACCTCGACGCTTGCATCAAGGAAGCCTTGAGGATGACCCCTGCCATAGGTATACCATTGGAGCGCATTGTTCCAGCGGAAGGAATAGAGCTATGTGGCAAGTATTTCGGAGGCGGAACAGTGCTCGGAGTCAATGCTTGGTTTGTGCACAGAGATCAGGGAGTGTATGGGGCAGACGCTGCTCTGTGGAGGCCGGGACGGTGGATTGAAGCCAGTCAAGATAAGAGGAAAGAGATGGAACGGACGTTATTTGCAGTAAGCTCCCCGGAGATACAATTTCTACATTGCCCGTGTGGTCTGCGATGACCCAGTAAGAAGTACTAATATTGGTCTTACTAGTTTGGAGGTGGATCAAGAGTTTGCCTGGGCAAAAACATCTCGTACCTGGAGATGTATAAGGCCATTCCTGATATGCTACGCAGATTCAAGGTATGTCACCTTGCCGATCCAGTTACCTTGTCTGTCAGAGGTATACTGATAGTTTGGCTCTTAGTTTCAGCTCACAGACCGACGAAAGGAATGGTCATTGAAAAATGGATTGTTCACCTACACGAGGGATTTTGAAGTTTCTATTCAAAGAAGGGAGAGCTCCGGAAAACATTAACAAATATTTACTTCGACTAGTTACATTTGTAAAGACACATGAAGATTCTGTAGGCAACTTTTGAACAAATAAAAGGGAAATAACACTTCATTTCCAGATTACTATAATAGAGATTCCTCTAGATAGCCTTATGCCGCCTTGCGGAGACATTTTCAGAGTTGAAAGCAGCAAAAGTATTAGACAATTCATGAAACTAGCTGTAAGTTTGAAGACTCACCAATCAATGACGTTGATCCTGCGGATTGACAAAGACTTTCTTTCCACTAACTTTCCCGGCCATAAAGGCGTCAAGTGCATCCTGTACCGACTCTAACCCACCCGGGAATACATAAGAAGGGTTTGAAAAGATCCTGCCGCTAGACAAGCCTTTGGGAAGATACTCTTGAAGATACCACACTTTGGCATCTTTGTTCTCATCCCTTGAGACTAAGAGATCCGAGTACCCTGCCCATTCCTTCTTCACATTCTTTGGTAGGCGTGGGTCTGCTGGGGTAGGACTTGTCGACCAAAAAAGGCCACCATCTTCCGCGAGCAGGTCGCCAAGAAGTTCGGTCACTTCTGAGGAGCCAATCGCATCGAATATCCCGTTATAGGGTCCATTGGTCTTAATAGATTCCAGGAGCTGATCCTTTGGCGTAGTATGGTCAATAATGTAGGATGGGCCACGTCGCTGCACCAGGTCCCAGTTGGCAGTAGATGATGTTGTCACTACCTCGTATCCAGCGTCGGTTGCATATTGAACAGCCAAACCACCGACTGAAGATGAACCACTATAAATGAAGATTCTCTTTCCGTTTTTGGGAGCCCTGTCATTGATAGGAGGATATCCGAGTTTCATGCAGATAGAAAGCGCAGCAACAACCGTCGCTAGGTTGGCCATCACGCCAGACCCTTCTTCCAAGGAAGTTTGACTGTCTAATTTCACGATGTTCTCTTCCAGTGCGAGGGGGTACTTTTGGTAGGCACCAAACCTCTTATCAACAGCTGCTGGACCCCAACAAGCAACTGCCACACGATTGCCAACCTTGACTGAATTCACATTAGGTCCTACCGAGACGACTGTTCCCCCAAAGGTGTATCCGAGAATCGCCGGATATTCAATCTGAAACATTTCCCATCTATGATTATAACATATTAACCATGCCCCTCATACCCTTTTTTTTTTTTAAACATGGAAAAGAACAGAAACACCAAGTACAGTCCAAACAACTCTTTTACTCACTTCTGGATTTTGGCTTCAATTGGGTTGAAAGCAATGGCCTCGTTCCGCACCAGTACTTCTCCCGCCCCTGGCACCCATTTTTCAACCTGTTCAACTTCAACTGGAGCCCGTGGGCTTTTCAATAACGCGGCCCTGTTCTCTTCCATCTCGTGATGTAGTAGGTGAACCTCGCAAATTAGGCAATGGGGACGCTCAGTTATATAACCACAGGCCCCACATGAAATTTTGTGGCTATGATGTGGGGCTGATTAGAATTATTAATCCATCCTGTCCATTATTAAGCCAACTCTGTTCGAACAGAAATCGCACTGTCACTCATACTATCATGAGAGACAATGACATTAAAGTATGACATGGATTTTTAGAACGATCATAAGGATACCAAGAATTGAATAAACAAAGTTTCAGCAGGTATTCCGGTAAAGACGTCGAATATGTTCCCACAAAGTCTAATAACTGTAAACGATAGTAAGTAAATGAAGATATAACCTTGGAGAGTCTGTAAACACTACTTTATACAGGTAGATCTCAAGGCGGTGTAGTATTCAAGGGAGAGATGAGAGATCACATGGCCCTCTTCCCTCTTGCCTAAGACTACAGACTAGCGCGAAAGGCGGCATCCAATCCACGTGTAGGTTCTCGGCTTCTGCCATCGTATAAATGGCTTACATGACCCACTGCATCTGCGCTTCGCATATGCTCCTCAACCTGCTAGAGTTGCAGAATCCCACACTTTTGTGTACCAAGAAATAGAAATCATAAAGGGTACTATATCACACAAATATCATTATATAGCTGTCAGATTCAGACCCTTTTGGACTGACACCATGTCATGTCCTCAGTGCATACCTGCAAATAACCCCATGGCCAGACCCAAGGGGCCATATTGATCCACGACAAGCACACGAAGTAAGGCAGATACTCTTCCATGCCGAGGGAATCGACCGTACAAGCCTATCTGATGATGGCCTCTGCCATGTGTGCAGACACATGAGACTCGGACACATTCTCAGATGCATACAATCTGGGCTATTATTCCGGGTGACCCGAGGCACTCTAAATCAGATCGATGTACGCTTTGGAACCTTGAGTGAGATCCGACAACGATCGAAGACTTGTATTCTTTGCCAACAATGGGTGCAGCTCGTAGACTCATTCCCAGGTGATAGTGAAGAGGACAACGATGTTACACTCACTCTGAGTCCTGGCTATCGGGGCACCGTCGTAATTTTCCACGGCAGGGGTAAGATAAGGAGAGCTATTCCCTTGCTCGCGTTCGGGACACATTCTAACTGGCGGCGTCTGCCTATCTCCAACAGAACGGTACAGCCGGGACAGTTCTATCCCGATGGTTATACAACGGGATCAACCAGATCGAGTAGGTCCGAGATATTCTAAAGTACTTAGAGACTGGGAGGAGGTCCATTCTTGGCTTCAAGAGTGTGTGTATCAACACGGAGGAAAATGTGGCCTAGCATCAAAAGCTCAACATCCACCAGGATTTCGGTTGATTGATGTGACTAACAATTGCGTTGTGACGGCTTCTGGATTCTGCGAGTACGCAGCGTTGAGCTATGTACGGGGAACAGATGACAAGCAGCGTCTCGAGGCAACAACGCATAATATACGAGATCTACAAAAACGAGGCTCTATGCACAAAGCCTGCCTCCCCGCAACTATCTGCGATGCAATGAGGGCTTGCGCTGAGATGGGAATTCAATATCTCTGGGTTGACCGGCTATGCATTGTACAAAATCATGCCCATGAGAAGGATGTACAAATCAATTCCATGGGCACTATCTATACCAATGCCTATGTCACACTCGTTGGGTTGGAAGGTAATGATGTGAACTATGGCCTTGCCGGGCTTTTTAAAGAAGAGCGACCTTCTCACTTGGCTTTCCAAGTTGATGACCTCGTTTTAACCCAGATTTGCAGTGAGAACGACTACGGGGAGCTTGTTAGAAGGTCGGAGTGGGATAGTAGGGGCTGGGCTTATCAGGAAGCTCTACTTTCGAGGAGACTACTGCTATTTTCACACTCGGGGCTCTTTTACGAGTGTTGTAAACCTCCTCGGCTCTGTGGCGAACCGAGCAACACATATCCCTATTTTAGAAAGCCACTCTTCAACAAAGCTATCGACCAAAAATTAACTTCCCCCTCACTATTATTCCCAAGCCTAATAGAGGGTTACACAAAGCGAGTCTCTTCGCATGAATCAGACATCCTCCGAGCGATTTCTGGCATCCTAAACTCGACTTACGAAAGTAACCACTACTTTGGACTCACATTTGCACTATTCGAGAACGCTATTTTGTGGAAGGCAGAGGCTACTACACATTCAAAACGCATTTCAGCCAGCGACGCCGTTTTCCCCTCATGGTCATGGTCCTCAGTCAAAGGCGGAATAAAGACCAATACTAGACCACTGCAAAACCTAGCAGTCTGGATTACTGCGTCTAGTGATTCTAATTTCCTTCCACAGCCATTAAAAGTCATCGCACCTCAGCCAAGAATGATTTATAAGGATATATATACATTGAAGTTGCTAACGCATTTTTCTGTGCTGCTTATCATGGCCTGGAAGGAGGGTTGCTTCTCAGGCAAGCTCCCAGATGAATTTTACTTCGCAGAAACTTGGTCAGAGTATAAAGATTTGATAGAAGAACGGTGGGGAGTCAATATTCCTGATCGCATTATTCAAGACGCCCATGGTCTGGTGGAGAACGTCGATTATAGCGACAAATTCTCATCAGAGCACATATCAAAAGCGCGCTCTAACCCTGGTGGAATTATGGTCCACACCCAAGCACTCCGGCTTCGCTTAGTGCCTCCGCGAGGACTATTCAACAGTTCTGATAAACCCGTTAAACTTTACACTGAAGCCGGTCGAGTTGTGGCATTTCTCGATGACGAAAGCGTAAATAGGGACTGGTTTCTTGCAACATATGGCGGCCGGCAAAGTGGGATATGTCTCGATCTTCTCGCTCTTTCCCTTGCATTTACCCAGTGTCATGTCCTGAGGATAAACTAGAATTGAGTGGAATGACCCGATCCATCGAGAAGATGATATACGGAAACCGGCAGATAATTCCTTTGGGTGAAGGCTCTTTCATTGATGCATTCGCACCTATTGTCAATTTGATGGTTATTGACACCCATAAGGGTGTCAGTAGGCGGGTGGCACTCACTAAAACCTATCTCAAGATATAGGTCAAGGCAAAACCAAACTTCGGCACCTTTGTTCTAGTGTAACGGAAGCCTGTACTAGCGATACTGTGGTTACCTTCTTGGGTTCTAAAGAAATGTATTGAGAAATATCATGTCTCTCCTGAATGCTTATCCATATCTCAATCGGAACGGGGGTTATCCGAAGATCATGCCTTCTGCATTTCAGGCATTCTCGCTTTGTTGATCGCGCAGGAAGGGACTGGAAGTCCTTCTAGTCCCGCATTTTATGCCGTGCATTATTGCTCTGCATTTCACCTGGTAGGCTTTATCGGCGCTTCACTCTTTTATTCCAAGAGCTGAAATTTGTGGTTCATTAGTGTTCGCAATTCCCATAGTCTGAGTACGATGCAACTGGCTTGCCCATTGGAAACGGACTCGTTTCAGTCCGACGGCATTAAAGTGACTTATAGTTTATGAATGCTAAGAATATAAGGACCCTTTCACTCCGGTCAATCTTATCTTTACCTCACAACTCTTGTGTTGCCAAAGGATGCCATTCCCTCCCTTCCCTATGACCATGCATTTTATCGAATAAAACTCAATCAGTCATAGTATAATCCTGCCTCCGTTGATTAACAGATGAATATCATTACCTTCTATACCAAAATAAATAGTCTGTCTAGTACTAATCTACCTCACCAAGTCTAAGTATTTCAAACTCTATGAGTATGCAGTGTACATGCTATTAGGTATATAGATACCTCTCTAGCTGTTAGAAGAAATAGAGAACGCACATCATGCAAAGGCAGTATCGATCATCATTTCTTCCCCCCTTGGCCGACTCCATTCATTCATGAGGAGTCATTCCAATAATGATTAAGTAGACTTTCGGGATTGTATTGCCAAATCGACCCGGATTTACCCTAGAATTTGTGAGAGATTCTTGTGACCACGGGCTCTGTTGCCTGGCCGCTAATTTCCAGTGATGCAGTGATACGGCCATCTTGCATTATACAGAATATGACACGGAGTTTGACCAACGATGTTATCGATTTGGCTTACAATATAAGAGCATTACTGAAGTATACGTTGAGCGGTCTGTCCAAGCCGGCCAAGCGCTGTGAACTTCTAAGTAATTCGTTCGCTCAACATTTTATCTCGGCAGGAATTGAAGCAGTTCCGCCGCTGAAGAGTGTCTACTGTGCGCAACCGTGAGGAAGTTCGAACATTAATGCTCCTTATACATGAATAGAACATACGCAGCTTAATATTAAATGCTTGCTAATACTCACTGTTCGTAGTTAACATTGAAAGTTTAAACATCTTATAATATAGAACATACTATTATGATATCTGCTCTAATTTCTATAGCATGTTACCTGATCAACAACTATACTGATTCTAGTTAGAACTTTAAACCCAACAATACCGAAAATCCTAATATGGCTCCTATACGCATCTATAACTTTATACGTCGATCGACGCAGTGTGCTGAGATATTGGATATTGAATATCATGAGAAATGTTGAAATAATCAGTTTTCTGCTAGCAATCTCTGTCTTTCCAGCGATTTATAGTAGATACTGGGAGTGCTTGGTTTCCAGACAATTCTGTGAATAAACTTTGAAATGTGTATTTCACGTTATAGATTGAATTTCTGTCGAGGTTTTCAAATAATACGACCCCGTCCTACTAGGCTAAGATCGTGTCTCCGCTGGTCCTGATACTTCCTTCCACATGAAAATCGCAAATTCTCCCTCCGCTGGGGTCCCGACATATAGGGAGATGTCCAGTCCAGCTATTTTGAACCCCATCCTGAGATAACTCTGGATAGCTGGATAGTTGACATTCGACACTTCCAACCACACATGGCGTACTGGCCATCTAGCAGAGCCAAGCCTTTCAGCTAAGCGCATAAGATTCCGTCCGATTCCTTGGCGTCGGTACAATGAGTTGATTTCAATATCAGTGATGATCAACCGAGAGTTCCAGCTGGAGAATTTGGCGGATATGAATGCGATGATTTTATTATTATGCCCGGGAGTAGGTGCATCCTTAGCACATAACGGATTGGTATCCTCGACTACCACGGTAAAGCAATCCGACGACTCGTCATCCCCGTCCGAGTTCTCGTCATCTGGGAAAGATTTGTGCAAAGGACTGTCTAACGTGACAGTCTTTATGTCCAGCCCAAATCCCGGATCTCCAGACCCTACGTTGGACGTGTTGAATTCAATTTGAAATACCCGATCTGTCACGAAGGAGCTGTCAATGGTGTGCATGGACGCTTCGTCATCCGACGTGGAAAGGCGGTAGTTGAGACCCCTTGCAGGATCTGTGAACGGCAGTTTTGGGAAGTCCGGCATAGTAGTCGCCATAATAAAGGGTATTCTGTATGCCGAGTATATCTTTGGTAGCAAGTAAGAGTTTTATCAGCGTGTTGTAAGCTTGCTATGGGACCAGGCGGGGAAATTCTAGTGGGGCACAACCCATAGCCTCGGTGAATCTGAATACGAGCTGAGACAAGTTGCCTGGAGTGTCAAGAAGGTAATCGGTCCTTGTGGTCCGTTGCGTTTGATGGACCACCATTGGGGAGTGGTGTGGCCGCTGTCTCCGACATGCATGTCAAACTCGCGCCCAACACCATATGGCGCTAAGGTCGCCTTAGATCTTATCCAAACTCAACAAGGGAAATATAAAATTTGAAGCAAAAAGAAAAACATACAACAGGAGGGATTCGCTGGTGGTCAGCCACCCAACTACTAACCTCCCGGCGTGTGGCTTAAGTACGGCTGAGCGGACGGGAAGCCCTGTTCTCCACACCCTATGGTCGTATGTACAGGTTTTTAAGTTATAGGAAATTATATAGGGTAAGGCTAATTCTGCTCCACCTTGTCATAATTTGGATTGAGTTCTAACCTCAAGTTTTTTGATTCCCTCTGCCATCTGTTCAGTATTGGTGAACACAGATCTCCCTCGTTGACAGATGTTTAATTCTCGCACTCTAGCAGTTACCCACACTTTGGCGACTTAGAAACCGCTGGAGGGAATGACACAGCCGTGGCACCATCCGGTATTGCAAAATTATCAATGATCATTCTCTCACATCTCGGGTATAGACTAGCATCCCCCGGCAGTGGCCATGTGTATCTGCTGTGTGACGGATATACAGCTGCGGCAGACCTGGGGCTCTCTTCCTTCTCCTCTTCTTTCCTTCCATATCCCTGTGTTTGCTCGAACGATGTCTGACCTAGTCAGCTACTGTCAACCACCAACAACCACTATTTGAGGTGCTATGGTAATATTCATTGCTCTAGTCGTCTTATCCGTTTATGAATTGTGGTTACTATCAAGGCTCCAATCAGCACCCTCATTTTGTGGTGGCGTGGCTTGCTGGTAGACTCGACCTCCGTGTAATTTAGACAACAAAGTCTCACAAGCGCTCTGTGGAGATGAGTATATAAATAGATCTTCTTTTGTCATACCCGGGGCCACAAACATCACTTTCGTAAACGGGTTCTCAGACCTCCACGCGGCTCATTAACACTACTCATCTACTGCCTATGCTCTCGAGCAGATGCCAACAAATATGAATCAATCCGCGTCTTGACTCGATTGCGTCATTTTGGCTTGGCTTAGATCAAATATCTTCCAACAGGCTCACCCGCTATTCCCTATTGCAGCTCCAACCATTTTCTGGACTTAAATTTGGTTTCTGCTCCCAGACGGCGGAGATAATCTTGAATCTCGAAAATACAGCTGTCATAACTCCGCTCGGCTTTGCCCACTCTGAAGTTCTGTTTCAAAGACTGTCTCATCTGATAAAACATTCCCTGACGCTCACGAACATTCCAAACCGCTTTTCGGCCACCCAAAGTACCTGATTCGATCTTACATGCATGCTCTCTGAGGATCTGGTATGTGAACGAATCATTAAAGTCACATCCGATCACCTTGTGAGTAATATCCACATTCGCCCCGGCCATGATAACATAGAAGCTCTATTATCTTGTGTTTCAGAGGGTATATGGAATCGGGACCACCTGACTGCGCTGTGATCCTTCATGTGCCTGCATTCATTAGAGCACAGCAAAGAACATCCTCGGTGATAGGCAGATTATCCCCAAACCTTTGGCAAAGCCACTGCAAAAGTCGAAGTTCGGACTGCTTTTCATTTCTCACAACCTCACAGAGAACAGCTTCAGTAGTGCATAGACTTTCGTCGCCATAATGAAACAAGATCTTCATAGGAATATTCCCATGTTCATATCTTCCTTGTGCAACAGCTTTCAGTACATCTTCAGTAATAGGTAGGCTCCCGCCCGCATATTCGCAAAGGGTAACCAATGTAGGAAAGTTCGTATCCAAATCTTGGCTTACAGCAGCCATTAGTACGTCCTCTGTGATAGGTAGCTTCTCACCCCCATGTTTACAGAGGAACATCATAATGTCATTTTTATGGTTGCTGTGTGATACTGAGGCGGTTTTGAGTAGATCCTCCGTTGCAGGAGTATTTTCACCACTCTCCCCACAAAGCATCTTAATCATATCGTATTTATCAACGTGGAGCTGTATCAAAGCTGCCCGGAGCACCTTTTCAGTGGTATATTGAGTCATATCTTTACAGAAGATATTTATGAGCCGAAGCCCAGCTAAATGATGGCTCCGTGCAGCAGCTTCGAGTACCTCTGAGCTCATAGGTAGGCTTTTGTCTCTCTGGCTCTCAATAATGCGTATAAAATGTGATTCGTCGCCACTGGTAGCAGCAGCACTGAGCACCCTCTCTGTGACTGGTAGTGTGATTCCAATCCGATCGAGCACAAAGTTTACTGCTTTCCAATCCGATTTTGAGATTCTTTCCGCGGCAAGATCTTCCACAATACCACGTATCTCCTTCTTGCTTTCATCTGGAGCTTCGGATGCAATACATTCTGAGGGGTAGTCATATTGACCCTCCTGTCCCAGAAGTTGACGAGATAATTTCCAGCTCCAAATTAAATTTATAAGTGGCAGGTAGTAGAGCCCACCAAGTTTGCGGCATTTTTATTGGTCTACGTCTCAGACGCTATGACTTGTCACAAGTCCTGTGTTTATTGTAGAACTTGAGTAGAACATTTTGAAGTTTGCTTTGCGATCTACCTACGTATAAAAATGAAACGCAAATAGCGGTGGGAACATAAACCATCAATTATGTAAATATCTAGCGCGATCATACTTATAACAGTTAGGTGGCGCAGTAATCCGAGGTAGCGATCCACCCCCAGCCAGCGTTTCTTATTCAACAAGGCTCTACATCACATATTCTAGAGATTATATACACAGGTTTCCTTTTCTATAATTCTCAACTCACAACCTCATCCTAGCACATTTTGGCCTTCTTTCAACTATGTAACAAAAATACCCTCCAACGGGGACTATACATATATCAACTCGAATCGCTATCCTGCTTGTAAATCTGTATACAAGTTCTAGAGTTAGTTACCGGGTGACCGGAGCCATAAATAAATCTATCCGATATACTCGATCGGCTTTTCACTCATCGGGGCCTCTCTGTATTGAAGCAGCTCAAGCAGTCTACTGGGCAGCCGTATAGCGTTGGCCGGGATACTTGGCAGGGCGCTAGTCGAGGCTCTGTGAAGACATTTATAAATTCTCTTAAGGGGTTATAGTGATATCTGGGCGCCGGCTGGAGACAGTATGCCTGAGCAAGTCAGAAATGATCTTTACCACAGCTCGATTCCTCGATCAGGTGACTGTCTGTCCCCTAATTGGGAAGATGACCGCTAGTGTGGATTCGAACCGCCTGGTTGTGGGCTGATCATTACCCTACATATGTTGACTTGTCCCACATTTTAAAAGTGATTGGCAGGGAACAGGCAAAGCCCATGCAGGTGGGGCCGGAATTGTTCGCACAAGAAGCTTATATTTCGGGTCTATTTGACAGTCTAAAATTCAATAGTCTGTTTGTAGCTGGGCTAGTGCCAGTTTTGTTATCTGGTCAACTCTGTCATCCGCTTGAAAGTCAAAGGGAGACTGGTTCGGTTGAAAGGGACTAGAGGCAATCTACGTGGCCAGGGTTCTCAATCAGATTGTAAGTTTATGTGTTGAGTGGAGTAAAATGACTACAGTGGATAACGATCGGCGCGTACACGAGGTTAAAGCTTGGATTTCCTTCAACTTTGATAGATAATTGGTCGATCCGGTCTTTTATGGCATGCGGATTTGCCACGTTCCCCCGCGTCGATGGTTCTATCGTTGAATAACTGGTTCATTACTTATGCAGGGGGCGAGTAGTGAGTTCACGCTACTGAAATTATGCAAAAGTCTTAGATCACTATCTTTCTGTAGGTGCCAACCAGTCCTAGGGAGCTTTGCAACTTACGTAGCCGACCAAGTAGTTATTGATAATGGGAGGTTTGTTCATACGTCAGATTGTGAGTAACAGTTGACAGGACACGATAGTCTGGATGTGAGAACCTAGGCGTCGAAAAATAACGCAACTAGGTTCCATGGTTAGTAACCATGATCGTCAACCAGCAGTCAGAATTTGTATTATCCACCGACGCATGTGGTCCCTGAATGACAATCACTTCCCGGGGCTAACCAGGCCGGCCATACTCCGTACGCAAAATATATAAGCTTTTAGGCCATAGCTTGGGCCTGTCGTGTGCGGAGTGGGCCCTACATCTTGAACTTGTGAAAGAGTGGTATGGGTTATTCTGAGAGGGTCTTTCCTGAGCCCCTTGAGCTTATCTTGAAACCGCATTTTATCTCTCGCCATCCCCCTATCTGGCAATGTAGCATCACATTGTCTGCTTTGCATTTAATCATCCTGCAATACGAAACAAAATGGTATCCCTTCGGGGGTCGATATTCGCTTTCCTGCTTTTAGCTACCTCACTTGTAGCTGCCAATACCACGACTGAAGTTCTTCCACAGTGCGCGGTACGCTTCGGTATCTTTGAAGAGCCTTGGATAATCCCTAACACCATAGCAGGTCGCCTGTGAGCAAAGCGCATTGCAGCAAAATAACTCAACTTGTTCTGATAGCCATACAACGTGTCTTTGCACGGATCATCTGTATCAGTCTACCTGGGAACAGTGTGTTCTTACAAATTGTACAGTCAAGGAATCGTTCAGTATGTGATTGTATGTCCCTTCCTTGCTTAGTTGAAACTGAACAATGTGCAGCTGCCAAACGGCTACAGTCCCAACAATGCGACCTCCCCACTCATCACGGACGCCCCGCCGCGGATCCCGCTCTCATTATTCCATTATGCCTTGCGACAATCCTCTTTGCTACTCGGATATCCGCCAAGTATATGCGTATTAGTGGTAGTTGGGGGTGGGATGATTATACTATAGTTGTGGCATATGTGAGACTGCAACCTGGCCTAGCTTACTGCAATAACATTTGGCCTTCTAATATCCATCCAGATACTGGCCGTGGCCGTATTCTCATTGAATGTGTCGAGTTAGTCCGAATGTTCAATCCTCTGAGTAGCAGGAGGTAACTAATACATTTTAGTGATTCATCATGGATTCGGGAAGGATATCTGGAATATCACGCCCTTTGAGGAAATAACTGAGATAATGAAGGTTAGTCTTTGCTACCACATTACAGTAAAACACTGATTCTCATTTGCAGATCTTCTACATCTATGTTTTGCTATACAAAATGCAGATATCCCTCGGAAAGATCTCCGTTTGCCTTTTCTTGTTGCGGATCTTCCAATCAACAGCATTTCGCTATACAGCTTATACTATCATCGGTCTCAATGCCGCAATTGGAGTAACTTGGGTTCTAGTTGACGGCCTTCGGTGCACCCCAGTCCATCTGGCATGGACAGGATGGGCGAAAGAGGAACAAGGGAAATGCATCGACTTTATCGCTGCGACCTTCGCGAATAGCTTCGTCAATATTGCAGTCGACGCTGTTATGGTCGCCATGCCAGTGTATGAAGTGATTAAACTAAATCTCAGCGCGCGAAAGAAAGTAGGAGTTGGCGTTATGTTTGCGATGGGCTTGGTGTGAGTAATAGACATTATTGAACTTTTTATTTTTTCTTCTAGGCTGACCATTCTCGCTACACTAGGCTCACCATTGTTGCAATACTCCGTGTTATTGTCTTCTGGTATAACCGCTGGAACAAGAATCCAACTGGTACGTTCAACTCGCGACTAAACATGCGTTCCTACTATTTCCTAGTCTAACTGACTTCGTGTGTAGTCGAATTACAGCCGATCAACGTCTGGTCGGTAATCGAGTGTCAGATTGCGGTGGTCTGTGCATGCTTACCGGCAGCCAGGGCTGTGTTGGTCCGCTTCTTCCCTGGACTGATGGGTGGTTCTGCTGGGGAGTCTTACGAACGTAAAGCCACACGACCGAGTGCTCCTGGCACCAATGGTAAAATCTCCCAGACGACGACCTATACCGTCGAGTACAGCAGGAGGGCTCAGGAAAGGGCATCGAATAGTGCGGTCAATCTTGTAGAGTTACACCGAGAAGGAGTCTAAATATGAAATGGATCAATTGCAGCCCAAATATCGTTTTCCTTACAGGTTCAGTGCTGCTTTTCGAAACGTAAATTCTAGACCTATATTCCCAATTTATGCATTCACTTGTAGTATATGGCTATCCAGATCACTTATTCCCCATGGCCGGCTGGATTCCTCGTCGGCACTGCCCCGTTGAGTTTGAATATATATAACAAAATGAGAGCTAGAATCTCAAAGTGACAATCGGAAAGACTGAGGGTGTCTCACGATGCAAAACCTGATCATATAATATCACGCATACGGCCTTGATTCCATGGGAGGAAACTTTCTGGGTTATGAAGTGTTGGGGAGGAACCGTTTCCTCCCCGGTTGGCGCTAGGTCTACAATAGCTCAAGGTCTTGATCAGGGCTGACTGGAGCTCTATGAGATATTAAATGTTAAAGATAGATATAGAGAGCATTTAAATAGTATTGCATTATTTCCTAGATTAGCTAGTTTTATATAGAGGGGTCAGAATCACCGGTAGCAAATTGCTAGGCAAACACACCTACCAGTCCACTGAGGGTCTCCAAAATCATTAGAAAATAACAATTGCCTGATATATACGCATTCTAATTCAGTTAAGGTGGTTTCCTTGGCCAGGGAGGTCAATCCAGCGCCAAATAGAGAAGGCCAAGCTGCAAGAATACCATGACACATCTGGTGAAGAAAGGGGTTTGTGCTACGGCCGTAGAGGCAGAAGGAAAGTCTGAGGTAGATAGTTGATTCCTTTCTAACTACTGTTTGACGAAAAACTAACGTTCAGCACTGAATGTGGAGGGCATGTCTAATAGGAACGTGTGAACTGTACAGATTGAGCCCCAAACCGCGCGACAAAGTAGGGGACGAGTGCCGAGAATGGCGCAGCAGACCGGGTTTTTCCTGCTTATTCCCATACACCTCCTCAGCTAGAGTGCATTATTAAAAATCCTCGTACGTCCTTTTCTTCGTCCTAGTCATTGCCTTCGGACACATTCTTGTCAAAAATGGTGCCCTTAACCGTACTAGACCATTAATCTAGTGCGGCCAACTACTCATCTGTTGTCGAACCGCTCAACTTGGGGACAAACCCCTGCCAACACTCATCACCGACGCACCCAGGCCTCCTATAGTTTCAGCAACGACCAATCAAAGACGAAGGACTTCTACAAATGGCAGAATAAGCACATCGACCACATTGCTCAAGCCGGTCCACGACCATGTCCGCGATGCGCGGGAGATCGAAAGTCTCCAACAAATTGCAGCTGCGGATTGCTGTATGGGGATCCTTTGTATGCAATATTTGTTTGTCAGGACTGCAGCTCTATGGTGCCATCGCGTGTAAAACTCTTTCTCTTGTCATTACTATGGCGGATTCAATCTTCGACCCTGTCTCAAACATCACCCTGATCCTGTGCAATCGGGCTGCCAAGGGCAACACGCCACAATATCCTGTCGGCAAGGCTCGGAGAGAAAACACCGGAAACATATACTTCTCCTTTATCATGATGGCCGTCTCTCTGATCCTGATAGCCTTCTCCAGTCAAGAGCTTACCCAAGGGGGAGAGTCAGCTTTCCATCTTCCATCCGACATTGCTGTCAGCATTGCTTTCGGGGCTAAATTCGCTCTGTTCTTGTACTGCTGGGCTTTAAGGAATAAATACTCTCAGGTCCGGATCCTGTGGGAAGACCATCGCAATGACCTGTCCATTAATGGTTTCGGAATCCTGACTTCCATTGGCGGCTCAAAGTTAAAGTGGTGCATTGACCCGATGGGGGCTATCATCCTTTCGCTACTGATCCTCCTCCTATGGCTACACACGTCCGTTGGGTAATGTAAGCTTCTTATTGGAGTCAGTGCCGATTCAGACATCTTGAACGTGGTCACCTATATTTCCATGACTCACCATACTGCGATCCGGGCTGTTGACACTGTGCGGGCGTACCATGCTGGCCCGCGTCTCATTGTGAAAGTGGATGTTGTCATGGATCCTCACGGAACCTTGAAAAAATATCATGATATCTCGGAAGATCTGCAGAACAAGCTTGAGAGCTTGCCGAATTTGAACCACGCGTTTGTTCACATTGATTATGAGACAACGCATCGGCCAGAGCATGCCAAAAAGATTCTGTAATTATTTAGGTGGGGTGCGAAGAGACTTCAGTGTGTATCTGGGATACTGCATGAGATACTAAATAGTTATCAAGATATTAAGGATGTTTAGGCGCTGAAAGCCTGTAATAGAGCACATCAATGCACACCCTCCAGGCAATTTGCTGTACTCCTTCAGGTGAACGTACGCAGTTTTAGCAATCTAACTTTGGCGATCGACATGATGCACTTGTAAAAGCTTTTGGTTATCGTGTAACTCTGATCTGGTCTTGTTACTACTTAGATTATTCTTTTTTTTTTTTTTTTTT